GGTCAAGTACAATTAGGTCTGTCAACGGATTGGATTCAGATCAAATCTATACTCTTCCAAATCCAAATTCGTTAAGAAAAATGATTCCGAATCCGATCTGTGCATCCAATGGATTTTAAAATTTGTGTCCACATCCGAATCCATTTACAATCGGACATCTGATTCGATCCAATTACCACAAAAAAAAAAAATTAGAACATAATATTAACTAAACCCTCACAAAATCTCACTAAGAAAAAACACTATTAGTTTATTTCTACAAATCAATTACTCAAGTCTAACAGTATCAGACAAATCAACTCTTACCTAATGAACTACGCATGACGTCCTCGAACCCTAGCTCGTCCATTCAAATTTAGGCAGATTATTGGTTGATTAGAAACCCAAAATATTAGGGCTTTGATTGCCCATGAATTTTGCCCCACTTTTTGTGTTGATTTTCACCAGTAGGATCAAAAAGTCATGTTTATCCCATTTATTGAAACCTCAATACTTTATTGTGTTGAGAAAGAGATGAAAAAGGATAACAAAAACAAGAGTGAGAAGCTGAAGATAGCAGAAGAGAGAGGTATAGAGCACATTAGAGATATAAGAGACATAGGAATGGAGCAGTAGAGTGAGGAAGAAAAGATGTGTGTGAGAGAGGAGTAGTCAAGAATGACAGTGGTTGTCCAAGCATGGACTCGGTGAAGGTTGCAGGAGATGGAGGTGAAAGCGGAGGAGCGGCAGGGGCGGTGGCGAGCCCAACTTTCTCTTTCTGAAAATGAAAACCTAAATGTGTGTATATATATTCAGATTGGATTTTAATTGGATCGGATTTAGACATATCCATATCCAAATCCGATTTAACATTTATAAACGAATTCGGATCAGATCGAATAAATGGATTATTTTTTTGTCCATACTCGAAGAAACGGATTCGAATCAAATTCGAACTAAAATCCGATCTATTGACAGGTATAAGTACAATGAACACTCGAGTGAGTATCAAGTGGCTCGAGTGGGCACAAAAGAAAACGAATCTAATTCTACCCATTAGCTTACATTAGCTTTGTACTCCCTTGGCGCTTTAGCAAGCTCAAGCGTAGTGACACATTTTTTAATTATTTTACTAATTAAACAAGCTTATTATTCATTTTTTGTATTAACTCAATTCATTTATTATTCAAATTACTAATTTATGTCAAAAATTATCACACCAACTAGGATATTAAAAACACATTGGAGTATGTGCATAAAATCGTTACAACTTGTATGTTTTTTTTCCTTCTGAAAGAATTGCCGGAAAGCGATCATGTCATTTTTGAAAGTGCTAACACAATAAAAAAATGCATAGCAGTTGAACCTCATACGAAAGGTTGATTGTCTTTCAAGAAACTGCTTAGATTCTGATTGCCGTTGTCTCAAAGTGATACGGAACCATTCATGATGATGCAATCAATTTTATAGAGTCAATTCTTGTTAAATACAAACAATTATGGACTTGACAATTGTACCTAATAAAAAAAATTGGTACTATATTTCTAAAATTATATATTGGTAATTTTATAAATTTTATGGTTATTTTTATAATTAAAAAGTTTTTTGTGGGTATTTTTATCACTGTTGTAATAACTATTTTTACCATTTTTTTCAATGTCATAATACTAGTAAAAACACCTACAACAATAATAATAATATTCACAGATGTGATAAATGTCAGTACAATACCGATTTTTTTTTTTGGCACTATAGACAACTCCAATAATTGTTTCTTATGTAATTTTTTTGAAGTGGGGGTAATTCTACATTATCGAAAAAAAATTGTTCTGTTTTGAAAGTTACTATTTTTGAGGTCAAGTTGAACCTTTTAAAAGTAAAGTAAATGACTTCATAATTGATCATAAAATGTTTTGATTGATCATAAATTATCTTGATCAGTTGTAACTTCACTTTTAAAAGATATAACTTGACCTCAAAAAAAGTAGTAACTTTATCTTTAGAAGTTATGTTCTATCATTTTTCTAAGAGCAATGCTTGTTGGACTTAAAAGATTGACATTATTTGTTGATTTTATCAATTATTTTCACTGTAGGTCTCAGTATTTATTGAGATTTATTACCTATTTAATGATTGTGATCGATAAAATCAACAAAAAATGTTAATATTTTAAGTCAAATAATATTTCTCTTTTTCTCGTAATAATTTCTATATCAAAACAGTATAACTTGATCTAAAAAAATTATAAATTTTGCTGCCACAGTGTTTCTCTTTTGAAGGAGAAGGTTGTATTGTGCTATATTTTGTCCCTCTTCCCGGAATTTGTATTTTATTTTTCCTTTTAATTAGTGATTTATCTTCCGTGTTGGTAATATTGGTTCGTCGTCATATATATTAAAAAAATAATTTCAAATTTAAGCTGTCTGAAAATGAACAACTAAGTGGTTAGGTACAAGTAATCTAATCAGCGGCCAAGATATATTCAAGTTACTAGTTTTGATAATATTTCCACGAGGGAGGCCTGGACATTCTTTGTTTTTTAACAGTACTACACAAACCTTTTTTTTTTTTTTGTTTTTTGTTTCCTGTCATACATCAAGATTTCTAATGAAACGTGCATACTCGGAAGGTTGTCGAAAATAAAAATATTATGATTTCCAAAAAATTTATCAAATGAATGTGAATGGTTAAATGAGTATGTTTCATTAATTTTTTCTAACGAAACTCACTGATCAGATCATTTACATTGATTTGGTAAATTTTTTGATAAGCATATAACTATTTGTCAAAAATACTTGTACAAGAGAAAATCAAATACACGCAAATGTGTACATAAATCAAATCAAAAAGTCAAAAGTGTTGAAAAGATTTGTAGAATTGAGACAAATTTACATAATCCCTATAATTGGAAAAGAGATTTCGTGTGTGTTGAAATAGGAGTTGCAATTCACACAAGATGTTAGCAAAACCTTCACACCAGCGTCTCATGTCACCATCACCAAACAATGGTACCAATACACAGTTAACGTAGATGATTATGGTTGGTACTTAATGTCGATAGAACCTCAACAATTTCTCCATGCAGGTTCTCTTTATTGTATGTCTTTGACTATGCCTTAATTGATAAAAGCATTGAAATCAGAAATACCCACTACAACTCTTTTTGGTAAAAGGTAAATAATGTAAATAGCATCGTTAATCGTTAACATTAGAACCATAGCCAAGAATTTATTTTTACAGTTTAACCATGTACCTGGAGCCTTTAACGAGGCTGCTCGTATGGTTGTTGCGATGCACAACAAAATGCATCTTCCAAGCAATTGAATAAGCAACAAAATGAAGTGTCTGTTTCACACAAAATCTACACTGAAACAGGCAAAAATCTTACTAACTGCATATGGCGGTGCATGATCAAACGCTCCTAAACTGGACCAGAAAAAGAATTGGCTGTTACCCGCCTTCTAGAGAGAGAATGCTTGACATAGAAATAGAGGTTTTGTTGGATTCAGCTGCTGAAATCAGAGATGCTAATATGACCAAATTAAGTACTAAAGTTGTAGTCCAAATGATGTGGCAAAACTCCGACAATCAATTGGCTATTGTTGGGCTCCTTTATTTGTTGGCATTAAAAGCTTCCAAATCATTTCATTCTTAATTTTAGTCAGATTAGAGTGAAATATATTTGTTAAAGAAGCTAAGGGGTAGTTTTTTTTTTTTTTTACCTATAGAGTGTTTAGATGTGCGCCGGCTATTCCCTCGAACTATAGTCCGAGCAGATTTAGAACATATTTCCTAAAAATAAGAGTGGCCGGTCTTTAAGAGATGTGAGAAGTAGCTCTCATCATCTCTCTCTACTTGCATGTGATTGTTTGACACGGCTGCCAATCATAAGGGAGATACATTTTGTGTTGGAAGTCGAGGCTTCTGAACTGGTTTTGTCTAACAAAAAAATTATTAATTAAGAAGAGATTACTATATATAAGTAATTCAATAGTTGTTGTGGTATTTTTGTTGAAGTGTTGAACCCGCAGGTTGTTTTTATTATTATACTATAATAGTAGATTCTGAGGAGTACTCAAGCAGGAAAACATTTGAACATTCAAACTTTGTAGGTATATCTGGTTATATACGACTTTCTATATAAGCAAAAGAGAGATGAGAATCGGAAAGATTTCGTATATCGTTGAAAGACTGCATCTGTTTGGGCTAAGTTTTGCTGATGTGAGGGTTTCTTAATTTAAGCTAAAGAAAGCTTAAAATTTCAGGAACTGCTGGCTTTTATATACTAGACTAGATCGATTAATCTTGAAACAAGCTACTCTTTGTTTGACAACTTTATGTTTAGAAATTTAAGAACTTGTTGAGATTCAAAAAATGGAATCCATATTCAAGCGCTTGAAGCTTATTTTCAAGACAACTTTGTATGAACATTGTCTGGAAACAAGTCTCATGTTTATCTGATCTGGTGAGTTCGTCAATTTACCTATTTTCCCCTTCTCTATGTTTTCATTTTCTTGGTTCTATGAGGAGTTTCAAAAGTCAGTATTTTCGAGAATTCTTTTCATGTTAAACAAACATATGCTCTAAAAGTTTAAACAGGAGATGTAATTTAATATTTATATTTCAACATTTTAAAAATAGATTGTTTCGATTTTCTGCAACAATCTCTCTCTCTCTCCCCAACTGTCCTAAGTTCATAAGCCAGATAATTTTTGTTACCTTGATTTAAAACGTCCTCTTTCTTTGAACTATGGTCTGGGGATAGAAAAGCAACAAAAGTTCGGATTACATGTTGATTTAGAATCATTCCTTAATTACGGTCTCTTTTTTTTAGGTCAACGGTCAAGGGTATTTAGGTCAACTTATATGTACGTTAACTAATCTCCTCACCAGTCTGGTCAAAAGCAGGTCGACATCAGTTATTACTCCTTTGAGTTTTTATATCTCACAAAGGTGGAAGGAAATTCCTCTATCACATAAGAAATGCAGAATATAAAGCAGAATACTTAAATTCTACAGCGATGGAACAACTGCAGGTGAACAGGAACATATCCATATCATATGGAAATATTGTTCAGGTATGCAATCCTTTTTCTGCAGCACCGGAGTACGAGTACCAGCCAGAGAACTGTCCTCCTAATGCAATTCAGATCGGAGACATCCCTCGGGTATGCCAGAGGAAAATAAGGCTCAAACATCATATTGACACTGCATTTTATGTTGTACATGTCTATATGCATGTTATTTTATAGATGCTACTAACAGTATGCTTGATTTATCTGACATAAACAAAGTTATGCTGATCTATGTATCTGACTTTACTTAATGGGTTACTAAGATTTCTAAACATTTCCTTCTCCTTTCCCTTCTGCTTTTGAAGTTATTGAAGATGCTTACATGTCCAGATTCCAACAATGGAACCTGTAACGGAGGAATATCAATCTCCTCCGCAGATATTAGAACAGTGGAAGCTTACTCAACTACAATACAGCAACTACTAGATGTGTATCCTGCTATGGAAAGTCTAGTTGAATGTCAGATGGTGAAGGACGCTTTTTCGGAAATCCTTCACAAACACTGCAAACCTTTGAAGAAATATGTACGGATGGTATGGGCAGCAGTGGTGCTCCTCTCCGTGGCAATGGGGGCTCTAGTTATCATATGGACAGCCGATGCACACCACGAACTAAGACATCATTTTTCAGATGGTTCTGTGAAACCCCATTTTACAACGGCAAATATACTGGAACTGGGAACAACCAAGGCAACAACTCATCCTAATAGTTTAGTCCTGTAGATAGCAACCAGTTTCCCAAAAGGACTTGGAAGACACAAGCAAAGAAGCTCCGGGAAAAAAAAAGAAAAACACCCTTGCAACATATCAAGATTTCCCATAGGTAGAATAACAAAAACATCACACAGGTGAAAATGAATCAATAGATCAAAAGGAGTACAGTATACAAAACTAGATTTGGAAACAATAAAAAGGGTTCACCAGCAAAGTGATGCACAATTTAATTTTCTTGTATTTCTATAGAAAAGCCAAGATAAGGGAACAAAACCCTCAATGGCCTGTAAAGACTTCATCAAACACTTGCATTCATTTTGATCAATTCTACGAGCAATGCATCCAATCCCTACAATAGCTAAGCACAAAAAAATTTTAGAACCTGTGTTATGGAAATCTGGAAGGCGGCAACATTCAACCAACACATGTCTTGGCCAATGTTAGAACACTAGCTTGGCCAATAAAACTTGTTTTATTTGCAAATAAATTGTGTTTAGTTCTCTGCTTGCTCTTGAACATGATCAGCCGAATATTTTGCAGCCAGCTGAAATTGAGCACTGACAACTTGCTGTCTCACTTCCCCAAGGGCATGTTATGTTGTCAGCTGAAGATATTGCATTCAATAACTGTTTGTTGTCTTAACCAGCTCACAACCACAGAAAAGCCTCTCTTTTAAGATGGGTTGTACAATTTAACCCTGCAAAACCCTACCAACGGTTGGGGTAAACCCCTAACCATCTGCATAACTGTTGGCTAAATATGTTGGATTTTCACTGATCAGGTGAACATTTATTACAATTGGCAGACCACACAATGGTGACTTCTGAAAGGCAATCGAACAAGTATGCAAGACACACCACAACTTTAAATATTGGCCAATCATGACCGAATTGACCACAAAAGACACGTATCTATTATGAAAAATTCAGCATTACTATTGGATAACAAAAGAAACAATTTTATAACTATTAGGTAGCAAAAAAGAAATCTTTATGAGTTACATGAAGCCCCAAATATATGATTCTAATGAAAGAAGAAAGGCAGTTCTTAAGATGAACCCATGCAACATATTGTAATATCTCAGATCAAAAACTGCCAAAATATAGGATCAGCTTGAAGTAAAGGCTAACCCAACCATGTGAAGTGAAAAAGGAAACGCTTCATTTCAAGTTGCCTTCCTCCTACAAGAAAAGATAACACAGCTGTAAGAACACAAACATGACCAATGGAAACCCAGGGAAAAAATGCAAACCCTAATCAACCTGAATGCCAGACTACAATTGACCGAAGCAAGAAGGGGCCTAAAAAAACACCAAAAGTTATGGAAACCAAACAGTAAAATCGTTTGCAGCATCATGATAGAATTTGAGCTGTAACTGAACAGGCATGCAAATGAACGAAATTTGTGGAATAGATTCACTGCCCAAGACCAAATGCTATTGATGCACAAACTGAAAATTTTGACTTTAATTGGAAAAGTTTTTCCCATTGGAATCAACACTAAAAGAGGTCTTGAGGAACACCCGTTTGTGGTTTGTGGATACAGATTCTGGCCCCAAACAAATTAGCTTGATTTTCAATTTGCCAATCAACATCAATGAATCCTCCATGAACACAAATTCTGGCCTCAAACAAATTAGCTTGATTTTCAATTTCCCAATCAACATCAATGAAATCCTCCACAACAATCACCAATCTTATTGAAGGCCTCACGGTGCCACAAATACAATGGTAGTCCTTCCATAGCAATCCATCCTCCCAAAAATGACACTCTACTTCTGATTAAGTGGATTCATGGCACCATTATAGAAGTCTTCATTCCTACAGATTTCCTCTGCTTTCAATCTATATTCACAGAAAAAAGATTGTTTTATCCGTTTGGAAAGGTTGCAAAATTATTTCCGTTTTCAAAGTTTTTACCAAGGAAAACTAGATTGCCTTCTAGGGGTGGAATAAACTCCCCCTAATACATATCACTGCACATCACCATCTCTCCTCTTCTCTGGAGACGACGTTATCACACTCAAACGTCTTATAATCTTTTTGCTTAAGGACTTCACAACAACTCTTCTCATGCTCCCCAACCACCTTTAGCTTATTCCCTATTTTCCTTCTCTAGCAAAGCATGTTGATCACCAAGACTTGACCTCCTCCAACAACCTTCCAAAAGCTTGTCATCCCCGTCCTTCAATGCCTTTGTGAATAATCAAGGCTCTTCTTCTGCCATTGTAAAGTAGCTTAGTACAAAATCCCCAAACTTTCTAGACTTCATTTCCATCCACAGAAAGTCCGTATTCCTGTATTTCCTAAAAAACAAATCCTTCCTATTCCAAAACAAAGAACTGAAAAGCAATTCCTTCAGCCATCTCACAGCCTTTATTCAACAAACAAGAGAAAGAACCAGTGCGCGGTTGGACTCAATCATAAGAATCCACTCTCCATATCACCCTTCAGGTTCTACCTTAAATCATTTTTTTCAAATCTTAATCTCCATTTCCTCGGTTTATGTATCAAGAAGATTTCAAGCTCAACTGACACGAAAAATATATTACATAAAAGTTTTGGTGACCTTCATGCCTCAATACTTGAAGCTTATTTAGATAATGTAGGAGCATTGATATTGTACAATTGGAGACAAAACTAACACCTCAAAGTGTGAGTTGCCTAGAGACCACCTTCGGTAAATCCACTGCGCTTTGCAACTTGTGTTTAACAACAAAATTCAGAATTTTAGACAAAGCAGTTTGAATTTCCCTCCATGGATGAAGTAAGGTCCCCCTAATGCATAGAACTTCACTCTTCCACCACTCTTCTTCTTTGAAAACACCTATCCTGATGCATATAATGTCCTATGGTGTGAAGAACATCTTCAAGTATCTTCCCAAAAGCCTTCCATCCCCTTCCTTCAATGCCTTTAGGAATGACCAGCCCCATCCCCCTCCCATTATTCCACAACTTCGTGATTCTGACGATTTCTCCAACTCCGCTAGGCTTTACTTCAACCCACACACAAAACTATTTTCCCCTAACTTACTAAAAAAAAAGCATCTTTCATACTCCAACTCAATGCACTAAAATTGAATCTTTCAACCATAACAAACATCATGTATTCAACACATATGAAAAAGAACTAAACCGAATCCATTATGTGATGCGTATCAACTCTGCAGAAGACCCTTTGAATTCTACAACGAACTGTTCCTGTTCAATCCTAATCTCCATCAAGTTGGAATTCCTTCTTCATGCACATTTGCCATCACCTCTTATGACCAATTAGGTGGCCCAAAGTTTGCTTTTCATTGGAAGAGGCAAACAGTATACTATGAGTCGCAATTATCTGTAATATAAAACAGGAGAGACGGTCTCAAATAAACTCATTCAACAGCCACCAACATCACCCTCAGAACCTTTCATATTACACCATGTCAAGGGTACCCCTAGTAAATTGTCATGAACATGATTCTACAGCTTCTATAATTTGGTCAAAAAAAAATTACTGGCAACTCGTGATCACCTAAATCAGCTTCTTTACTGCCTTTTTTTGGGCACGTTTTGTACCTACATCATCTACTTGAATAATTGTTATAATTTTAATATGTGCACAAGCAACCCCACGCACACATGAACATATGTAAACATTATAGTTGTACCCATATTGGAAACCATTTAAATCTCACACAAATAAGTACTAAATTATAGCATAAGACGAGAAACAAAAAAAATTACACGCAAAGGCATGTTAGTATCTATATGAGCAGATTAAACCCTACAAAATACAAGAAAATGAAAATCAGCGTATTAACCAAACCCCCTAATACATAATTTTTCTCATAAACAAAACAACAGATAGTGGGGGCAACATAATTCCAGGGTAGGGATTAAAATACCAAATTTGAAATATTGAAAGGGAGCACCGTACCTGCTGGATAATGGAATTGTTACTAAGGACTGGCTCCAGATTGGTGATTCTGGTGTCTAGGGCATCAAACTTTAGCTTCAACTACAAATGAAACAAATCAATTCCACCCATTAAAAGAGAAAAAAAAATATTGCAAATATACATAAAATACATGTGATTATGTATAGAAAAACAACTGGGTATTGAAGAGTAACAGGAATAGAGTACGTCGGAAGAGAGAGAGTTACGGTGGACCCAGAGATCTTTGAGGACCAAGTGAGTGATTGTAGCGCCGGCAGTCGCAAAGCCTAACGTGAACCAAGCCAGCCTTGTTCTGATCATCTTTTTTTTTCCTCTTCTCCGAGAAAATACAAGATTGCAATACTACTCAGTAGTAGTCACTTCTTGGGGGCTTTGCTTGGACGGATATTTGGGATGGTCTTCCAAATCATTTTAGACTTAAATCCATTCGCATTAAATCTAATTCATACTTATGATTGAGATATAACACATATACACATAAGTCTCATAAATATATTATAATTATTAATAATTATTTATTTTATATATAATTATTTTATCCCTTAATTAATCCAATTCATATTCATGTTAAAGGTACAATTATCTTTGCATCCTTAACCCTTAACTCATCCTCCCAAACCCATAAAAAACCCCAGATTAAACTTGTTATTCAAACATGATTTTGAGGGCTCTTTAAACTATTTTCTCCAATATCATCACGCCAAACTTTCATCCCTTTTACCAAATAGTCCCTTGTGGTTTTGATATGTATTTTGCATGGGATAATTCCTGCAATAGTTCGAGATAACGACCTTTAACCTGGCAAACCTGAAACAACAACAGGGTCAGAAAAAATAAAGTCAAGTGAACACCCCGCTTCTTCCCTTCGAAGCTTAAGTCAGTTTTAAGATTCAAGGTTCGAGCTCAATGAATAATCTTTTCTGGTTTCAATTTGCGTACATTTGTTCATCTTTTTTAAGAGTATTTATACCTGAATTAGCAATTATTGCCAAAAACCTCCAGTCTCATCTGGACACTTAATGTCTGACATGTCACTCCTCGCACAATGAGTGTTCTCCACTCACGTCTCCTCCTACTAAATGCTAGGATGATGGGACGAGAGCTCAGCTAAATGCCGAACATTTATTCCCTTCCCTGAGTATCCACATCCTCAGATCGGCATCCGACATCAGCAACTGAGCATTGAATACTCGGGAGAACAGTTCCTCGGGAATAGCTGATCGTATCTTCTCGGCATATCAGTCATTAATGTCTAGCCATCATGATAGTAGGCCTAGACTCCCAGAGTGCAAGCGTTTGCAGGCCCACATTTATTAATCTTGTCACCATCACTCATTCTGCCACAAATAAGTGGTCACGTCGCATTAAATACGATGTCAACTGTCGTACTCGGCTCCTCTGGGTCACCATACCTCGGCTTACCTCCTTGGCGTCTTTTGGAGATCACAACGGCTTCAGTATTCCACGTGTCATTTTGGGGGCTGTAGAGCCACCTAGAGTCCCGTCAACTGTCCCCCAGCCTCCATTCTTTTCGCAGTGTGAGACAAGTGGTGTAAAGAGATTGGAGGCTCAATCATCATGCCTTATTAATGGCAACGGTTACTTGCACGTCTGGCGCCGCCCTTTTCAAATCCCCTAATGATGGCCAAGTTTTCAATTCCCACTCCCCGTAAAGCAGTATAAATAGAAGGCACTCATGTCTTCACAGAACTTTTGCAACCTCAGCCTCCCTTCAGCAATCAGACCCCGAGCACTTCACTGTCCTCCTCCAAGCTTCCTTCGTCCTCTGAGCTCCCTCTTCGAATACCACCTTCTTGTAAGTACTTCCTCTTGAGCATTTTTCTTCATTTCTTCTACATTTCTTCCTTCTAGAACCCATTAATGGCTAGAACCAGTAGAATCAGGGGGGAGACATCCATTAGGGCTAGGGCTAACCCCAAGTTGAGGAGAATCCAAGTGACTGACGAGAACATTCAAGCTTTCAGGGTTAGATACCACATCCATGAGCCTGTCCTTGTCTTCCCTTTTAACCCCACCCATCATAGAAGGGATATGGAAAGTGTAGACATGATGCCTTTTTGGACCAAGGTTATCATGGAATGAGGGTTAACCTTCCCTCTCCACCCTCTGTTGCTAAAACTGTTGATGCAACTAAAGCTCTATCCCCTTCAATGTGGGGTTAATTTCTTTTAGGATCATGATGGACGTAGTCGCCTTAAATGCTCGATTGGGAACCGACCTAGGAGTAGATGAAAGTTTGTTCTGCTATGACTTGAGGTTAGTTGTTAGGGAAAGATACTACCTCCAAGCTCGGGATGCCTCAATGTTTCTGGTAACCCACATGCCCGACTCGGACAAGGGGTATGTAGACCAAGGCCCGAGTATGTCGGATTGTATTGTCCCAAGGTACCGGGGGATGAAGGTGTGTCTTTGCCTCCCCTAGACTTATATTGATTTTGCGATCATTGGAACTGACCTCGACTATTTATTTTTGCAGAAGGATATTGTCGGGATGCTGCTCAACCCTTGAGGTCCCAAATCCGATTTGCCAATCTCCTAAGGGTTTGGTCCTACGACCCTGCCAAGCGAACGACACATACCCTACTCGGTTACACGCCGACTTACAACCGATTCTCTCAGATCCCGCCTCCCTTCAACCCTTTTCTTTGGGAAGACCATTCTTCGTCGTTCGAGGAAGATTCCGGGGAAGAGTCTAATCATCCTCCTCTCGAGCCCACCACATCCGAAGAAATGTTCAAACCACCATCGATCACCGCTGCCACCATGGAGGCCGCTGCTGCGGCAAGGAGAACCAGGCTCGCAGGGTTGATCGGGCCTCCCAAAACGGCCCCAATCATTCCCCTGCCAAGTTCTCCTCGGATACAACCCACCCCGCTGCCGCCGCGTCCTCAACCTTCTAGAGACCCGATCACACCAACGAGGCAAAGGCCCCCATCTCAAGTCCCCGCTTCTAGAGACCATCCAAGGGATCGGCGTGACCAGGAGGCTGAATAGTCCGAAGAACGTCGAGTGAAGAGGTGGCATGATACCCCAGGCCCGTCTGTGTCTGGCGAGTGGGTCCCTCGGGCTGAGGCTAGTAGCGGCTGCCCTATCTTGGAAGCTGACTCCATCCTCCAGTCCCTCAAGGTGGCATTTGTCGTTGCGGGGAATTTTCAATTTGAAGCGGACATGGCCGTATACAAAGGCTATTCAGATAATCGGCTATTGATGAGCACAATCCAAAGCAATTTGGTGGTAAGTATGACGCTTTTCCCGAGTATTCCTTGCACAATTTTGGTCGTTTATAATAGTTTTCTCCCTTTTCAGGTCAGCCAACAGGTGGGGGCCATCGTTGAACATTTTTGGGAATACAAACAAGAGGTGAAGAATGCCAAGCGAGCCATGGCTGCTAAGGATGAGCACATCCTTAAGGTTGAGAGGACCCTCGGTGACCAGACCAAGCACATCGCCAAGCTCATCCTCCAGCGAGACGCCCTTAATGCCAATCTAGAAAAGACGAAGGCGGGTGAAGCCGCAATAATCAAGAAGGTTGAAGAATATGAGCTGCAAGTCTCCTCTTCTGAGGTCAAGCTACAAGAGTCCGAGTCCGTCATAAACGATCTTACTGCCAAGGTGGACTCCCTGACCTTAGAGAAGGCGGGGGAGCAGGAAAGGCTACAGTCAGAATGTCAAAGGATGTGGTTGGCCACCCAAGACCAAATGGTCCCTGCCTTTGAGGAAGCTAAGAAGAAGGCTTTCAAAGAAGGTTGGGACGCCGCCCTTCATGCCTACCACGTTGAGGTAGGCTCGGACTTGTTCGCCATGCACAGCCTTCGAAGGGAGGCCGATGACGAAGTGTTGGAGGAACAAGTCCAAGCCGACCCAGGTGAGCAAGTTCAGGTAGAAGGGGCGGTCGGCGTTAAGGGTGGGAACGAATCCATAACACTTAGCGACGGTTCTGACCAGCCTTCTCCTACCCTTCCGTCTTTGCCACCTGCCGAGGCAGCAGATGATCTTCCCCCTCCTCCGCCTCCAATCATTACTGGAGTGCATGACACCAAGCTAGACGAGATATTGAGGGTTGGAGATGAACTACAAAGGCGGCGTGGAGGCCTCGGAGGGGGAGAAGCCGGGGAGGAATGAGCCGAGGGCCCTTAGCAGCTGTTGTTTTTAGCAACTTCTATGTCCCATGTTTATTCTGTAACTCTTTGTAGCTTTTCTTTGTACAAAATTTAGTAACTATTTGTATGCTTGGGGACGCAAAGCCCCTTTTTGAATGTAATGAAACTTCTTTTTTCTACAAGTGTTCTTTCTTTCCTGCATCATGTTACTTTGTTTCTTGGAAATGGCCTTGATGTTATGTCAATAATAACCTTCTAAAGTAGCAAGGCTTCACGTTGAATCTATAAGAGAAATTCCTAGTAAACGCGTTGAACTTGCTTCTGGGTCTTTGGACCCTCAGGACCGAGTGTATACAGCGGCTAAGTGCTTGGCTCGTTTATAATTTGGTGTTGCTCCCTAGATGGAGTCTTACACCCCTCAGGGCCGCACCCCTGACTACCGAGCGCTTGGATCATTTTTATAATTTGAAGGCATTGCTCTAAAGGTGGAATCTTACACCCCTCGGGGTCGTACCCATAACAATCGAGCGTTTGACCCGTATTAATAATTTGAAGGCATTGCTCCAAAGGTAGAGTCTTACACTCCTCGGACCATACCCCTAACAACCGAGCACTTGACCCGTATTAATAATTTGAAGGCATTGCTCCAAATGTGGAGTCTTCCACCCCTCGGGGTCGTACCCCTAACCACTGAGTGCTTGGCTCGTGTCAAAAATTTAAAGGCATTACTCCAAAGGTGGAGTCTTACCCCCCTCGGGGTCGTACCCCTAAGGACCGAGCGCTTGACCCGTGTTAATACAACCATAAAGACTGAAATCTGATTTAGTAGTATTTCTTTAAATTCGATATATTCCATAGCCAGGTTACATCATTGTCATTCATACTTTGCAACCTATATACGTCTGTGCCCCCTCCCACAGAGACCACCTTATAAGGGCCCTCCCAATTGGGACCCAATTTCCTATCACTAGATTCGCGAGCATTGCCCACCACTTTTCACAGTACCAAATCTCCGACTTGGAATTCTCTTATTTGAACCTTCTTCCGGTTTTGCCTTGACAATTTCCCTTGGTACCTTCCTAGCCTGAGGGATGCCAATGACATCCTTTCTTAAGCTAAATCGAGGTCTCTAGCGAGCATTTGGTCATTGTTTTCTAATTCAAAGGCTCGACTTCATATTGTTAGGAGTCCTACCTCCAAGGGGATGACAACTTCGACCTCATATGTCAAGGCGTAGGGGATTTCTCCTGTCGATGTCGTCGGCGTGGTCTT